TCGAGAACGGGTGGCGATATCGAGATGCGGTTTTCACTAAAATTTAGCAAATTTTAAGGTGACTAAGGGTCTGTGAAGTAAATAGTATCGTTCCATTTAACTTTTCTTCAAAAATCACAAAAATATGTAATCGCTGCAGATAACGTCCTCTAGCTCATTTGTTTTAAAGCAGACGGTCTTACTGAAAATATCTTTAAAAAGAGCATAAAATGCTCTTTCAAACAACACCGAAAACATTCAAATCGGTTGAATGGTCTAGGAGATATTAAAATGTAAACATATGAAAACGCATTGGCCTCCCCCTCTCTTATTATGACAGATATGAGAAATATCGCAAAACAAAAGCGATGCGGTATTATCCAAGCTACTAAATGATGTTGTCAAAGTTATAGCTCATCGTCTAACTTTCTGAGATAGCGGGAATTTTATGTTTCTCTATGGCAGTTACGCCCCCTAGCGGTCGAATTACGAACTTCAAAATAATTTCCAGGTATTTCTCTTGCCCACTTTGCTTATAAGGATTTTTTTCCCAAACCTCTAGCCCTTACCGTTGTTGAGATACAGCCGCTCCGTACGCTTAATGGGACATCCTGTATACAGGTGCCTATTATGTATGGAATATAGTATATATCTTGGTACATATCAACTTTACAAAAAAACATTTTATTCAAAAGTTGTTTAATATTTTAGTTGCCATAATAAGACAGCATTCAATTGTTTTTATTTCAGAAAACAAATGAGCAACGAATAACACTTGAAGTTTTTTAAATGGCAATGTACCCTTTCGCTAGGCTCATTTGATAGAGATTTTTTTCTCTTTACGATGACGTAAAATTTTAGAACCCTTACATCAGAAAATTTTTGAAAACAATGTAAAAATTGTTTATTAAGAAAATTTAACTAATAACATTAATCTAGATATCCGAGATCGTCAAGTACCTCGAAGTACCTCGAATTATTGGAGATGTACACTAATTTTTCGTTTATTTGTTTTATTTTGTATGTAAATTTAATTTATGGTAATAATTCGAGGTACTTGACAATCTCGTATATTTAGATTAATGTTATTGATTAATTTTTATTAATAAACAATTTTTTTCAAAAATTTTCTGATGTAAGGGTACAAAATTTTTACGCCATCGTAAAGAGAAAAGTAATCTCTATCAAATGAGTCGTAGGGTGCGACCCTCTGTGAGTGTTGAAAAAAAATTATTAAAGTTCATGTTCACTACTTGGTTGGTCGTAATGTTGGTCGTAACTGTAATTTTACAAATCTGAATCTGTTGTGGATTTAAATCTGAAGCTAACTTCAGCCACATCCAATGGGAGCGCTTAAAGTTGCTGTAACCATGGTAATTATCCGTTAGACCTATCCTCCTGATAGGTAAAAGTGGACCTAAGACAAACCATATTGAAAATATTTAAGAAAATTATTAAAAATCTTTTAACTTTGAAGGTCTTAGTCATTTATTACTAGACGAAAAATTTTTACACGAATCGTCATCATTTTTGCTCTAGTACTTGTGATTAAAATTATGTCACGACTTACAGAAACAGCCTGTATACAGGTGTCTCACGTAACCGGTTCGTTAGAACTTTTTCAGGTTTCACTATTTGTAGAGGTTTGAAATTTTGGTAGCATGGGTTGTTCATTCGATCTAAAATATTTTGAAGATGGCCGCCACTTCCAGTCTATCGGAAGTAGACCATAACTTCAAAAACATAATTTTTTCCGATGAGACAACATTTACATTGAATGAACAAGTTAACAGGCAAAATTATTGGTATTGGGACCCAATACGTCGCACACCCAATATCTGCAAAAGGTTAATGTGTGGTGTGGAATAGTACAGGATATTATCCTGAGCCATTACTTTTCTGAGGGAACCTTAACTGAAGAGAGATATTTAGATTTTCTATAAACGGATCTCATTCCTTCCATAATGGTCAGATTTCCAGATATTGTTGACCCAACTCGATTTCAGCGGCAATTGTTCTTCCAACAATTATTTCCCATCAATGGATTGGGAGAAGAGGGCAAATTGAATGGCCTGCAAGATCACCTGATTTGACTCCGCTGGACTCTTCCTTTGGGGATATTTGAAGAGTAAAATTTATACCACCAGACCAAATACTTTGGATGAACTAAAAATCAAAATCCGAGAAGTTCAGCGAATAACTCCTGATATCTTAGAGAATCTTAGAATTGTCAGGAAGAATTTAAAAATCGTTTAGGTTACTGTCAAGCTGCCCATGGTGCACAATTTGAACACTTAACTTAATTTTAATCTTTCATTTATTCATTAAATTTATTAATTTTATTAGTGTATATTTACGTCCTTTACGGACGTACTGTATATCTGTGTTTATGGAAATTAAGAAATTATTTATGAAATTTATATTAAATTTGCTATTTAGGATGTCTTTTTCAAACTTTCTTATTGCAATCACCTAGGCATCTTTATAATGTTATAAATTAACTAAACAACTAAAAAAATAATAATGTCAACCNATAACTCCTCTGGTGTACAACTTAGTATAGAGGTAAGTTACGTTAAATCATCTTAATTTATTGTCCTCTACATGTCCCTGCTCTGTGTCGGTTCTTATGTAAATCACCCTGTATACTACATTAATAAAATTCGGCATATCGCTATAATTTAACATAACAAACATTTTATATTAATCAACTTTTGTTGTAGATTGCTCAGAAAGGCCACTTTACCTGCAACAGTTAACAAACTTCTTGCGTTAACTTTGGTACTTTGAGGACATTTGACGTAAAACTTGGTTATATTTCGTTTTATGTCATCCAGACTTTAACTGCAAAAGATGGAATTTGAATTCCAAAATTTATCGTCAATTATACCTTACGGGGACACACTGTATAGTATTGTTACCGTTGATTTTATCGTTACGTTTTCGTAGTTTTTGTTTTATCTGGAGTGCTAATTCTTTGACGGTAGATTGTATTAGTTTCATTGACCATTATATTTTTTTTTTACATTTTTAAACCAACACTCAATCTTGTGTGTTGCATTTGATACTATAGGATCCCCCCCATACATTTGACTCCAAAATTGATGTCCAAAGTGGTACAAACGGCATATAATATTTCATCAAATATTCAGCGAAAGGTACACATTGTAAAGTGTTTTTTGTAAATTGTTTGTCTTATCACATCCTACTATTGTGTCTTTAACCTCTATAAACATTCTTTGAAAATAAATGTAAAACGGTGAATGTGTATAATGACCTTGACTTGTAATATTGTCGTCATAGTCCATATAGCTAATTATTTTGTACTTATTACTTGTACGATGCAAGGGAGAAAACGTGCAACAGTCCCTAGGGGTTGAGAAATGAAATCCTTAATTTAGTGGTAAAAATGACTACTTTAAAAATTCACCCCGCCATCCCTACGGTAAATCTGGTGATGCCCACAGGCACGTTGCATACTAGAGGATCTACTCGAAATATCAAACCCAGTCCCAGGGTGCGACATTCACTAGGGGTTGAGAAAATAAATTAAAAGATTAATGTGTGGTGCGGAATAGTACAGGATATTATCCTGAGCCATTACTTTTCTGAGGGAACCTTAACCGAAGAGAGATATTTAGATTTTCTATAAACTTTCCATAACGGTCAGATTTCCAGATCCAACTCGATTTCAACGGCAATTGTTCTTCCAACAATTATTTCCCAATCAATGGATTGGGAGAAGAGGGCAAATTGAATGGCCTGCAAGATCACCTGATTTGACTCCGCTGGATATTTCTTCCTTAGGGGATATTTGAAGAGTAAAGTTTATACCATTAGACCAAATACTTTGTATGAACTAAAAATCAGAATCCGAGAAGTACAGCGAACAACTCCTGATATCTTAGAGAATCTTAGAATTGTCAGGAAGAATTTAAAAATCGTTTAGGTTACTGTCAAGCTGCCCATGATGCACAATTTGAACACTTAACTTAATTTTAATCTTTCATTTATTCATTAAATTTATTAATTTTATTTATGTATATTTATGTCCTTTACGGACATACTGTATATCTGTATTTATGGAAATTAAGAAATTATTTATGAAATTTATATTAAATTTGCTATTTAGGATGTCTTCTTCAAACTTTCTTATTGCAATCACCTAGGCATCTTTATAATGTTATAAATTAACTAAACAACTAAAAAAATAATAATGTCAACCCCTAAAAGGAGCACATGAATATTATTATCATTAGTACTCGAAGAAGTTAGTTAACTCGACATATAAATATGTGAATGAAGTTGCCTATATGAACCTTTTAATTTTAAATAAATCAATATTTCCTGGGAGACGAAGAAAATTAAATCAATCAATTTTTTGTCGCTTTCATTTTCTTGTATTTCTTTGAATAATCATTTGAAGATTATTCATTATGGCTCGTTGTCCAGAATTACCATTTTTACCAGGATTTACATTTAATCCATTGGTAAAGTTAAAATAATTTTTAATTATTTTTGTCGAATTGAATAATTTTTGTTTTAGATTGGTCGAACGAAATTTAATAGAGATAACCAATTTGAAAATTACGGTGGAATCCCCATGTTGATAGAAAAAGTTAAACCGAATATGTTCGGTCCGTTTACTGATAGGTATCCTTCGGCTTATGCTAGAGGAGAAGTTGTTGATTTACCTGGATGGATCGCTTTTGATAAACAAATTTTAGTGTTTGATGCCTTTTTTAGGCAAACTTTACAAGAAGTTGCTTTGGCACCGTTTCAAGTGCGCAGAGTTAAAATTTATTTCTTTTTGGAAGATGGAACCATTCAAGTTATTGAACCAAAAGTTGATAATAGCGGATCGGCACAAGGTAATATGAAAATAGCGGAAATTATAAACATTAATTATTTTTTTTGATCAGGTACTTTAATTAGTCGGCAACGGATAAGGTTTCCTGCACCGATGGACGAAAATTTCTACGATATTCTCGACTTTAACGTTGGGAGAGAAGTCGAACTTTACGGAAAGGTGTTTAAAGTAACGGATTGCGATCGATTCACTCGAAACTTTTTGAATCGTATTGGAATAAGCGTACCAGATCCGATCCCTCCGCCACCGGATCCTTATTTAACACACCGCGAAAAAACAAAAATTACTAATTTAACTAAAAAACCTAATATTCACGTTGACACACTCGGACAATTTTTAGCAAACGACGGGAAAGTTTTGCGATTTTATGGTTATTGGGATGATCGCGAGTCAGAAAACGGAATACTTCACGATTTAGAAATTCATTATTATTTAGCTGATGATACGATGGAAATTAAAGAAATTATTCCACCAAATTCCGGTAGAGATACCGGTTTTATGTTTATGAAAAGGGCAAAATTGCCAAAAGTTTTTAAAGGCCTCCCGGGACCTGGTGTCGATTCTAATTTTACTGTTTTAAACGTACTCGGACCTGGATTAGGTGGTCGATTTATTACGGATGCTTTAAATTGTGGAAAAGAAGTGGTTCATTATTATAAAGAAAATGAATTAACAATTGGTGGGATTATTAATTGTTACGGAAGAAGGATTTTATTAACCGATTGTGATCCTTACACGAAAGCGTATTACCGTAAAAAATATGGTGTCGATATTTTCGAACCGAAACCTTACCCAGAAGATTACATCAAAGCGCAATGTCATAAAACCATTGAAAGAGAACTCCCACCTTGGAACGGATACGGATCTTACGAAGATTCCGCCGTAAATTGTAAAAGTGTAGAGTTAAAAGCACCTCATAGAGATTTTCAAAAGTTTTTAAAATATGATAAGTAACTATTTTTATTAGAATACAACAACGAATTAATTTTAATTTCATTTATTTTAGAGTTGGTTTAGATAGTCACATATTACGTTTTGATGCAAGATTAGTATCAAAAAGTAAAATAAATTGTTCAAGATTATTCACAATAAGTTATTATTTATCCGATGATACAATCGGAGTTTACGAAACTGCCAGAGACAACTCCGGATTTAAATCGAGTCAATTTTTTAAAAGACTTCCGGTACAACTCCCTGGTCAGGCGATATTCACATCGAAACCACCAAAAAATTACACCGCCCAACACATGTACGTTGGTGCACAATTGATCATAAACAGTTTTCAATTTGTTTTAATCGATGCCGACGAATACGCATTAAGATTTATGGAAATTAACGCGCACGAATTCCCAAGATCAAATATAAAATTAATAATGGATAAAGTTCGTGAAAAATTACGACCGATTTATAAAGATTTTGTTGCTGAAAATATGCCAACGGAATCACCTACTATTACCTATGAAAAATTAAGATCGAAATTGTGTCCTATTATGGGAGAAAATTTTGTTGAACAAGAAATGATTACGATTGCAAGAGCTTTCTCAGCTAGTTGTAAAGATCCAAAATATGATAGAAATGCCGTCAGAGCGATTGTATTAACTAATTTAAAACGAGCTTTATGGGACGATTTAGAAAGAACCAGGGAATACTTTTTGGTTAAAGATGGAATTAAAAGTGGAGTTTTATCTCGACACGATTGTTATACTTTATTGAGAGCATGTCGAATACCTTTAGATACTTCGGTTCTTGAAAAAATTCTCGATGTGTAAGAAAAAGTTAAATTGATTTTTAGATCTTGTGTGAAATTTTTTTTTCTAGGGCTGAAAAAGACCAAAATTGTAATATTATTTATAACGATGTTTTGAATTTCTTGGATAGAAATAGATGCCCAATGGCCGATATAATTCCGATAAATGTAAAGAAAGAATTATGGTGGGCTTCAGAAAGGGAACCTTATCACGGTCAATTAATTAATTGGTGTGCGTTTAACGATTATTTGGATTTACAAAGTTTAATTAAAGAAGCCAGTGGACCTTTTTTGAATAAACCGAAAGAGGATGAATAAAAAATATCGTAAATAATTATCGCATTTAATTAAATTTCTTGTAAAATGAATTTGCTAATAAAACTATTCAAATATATTTTTATTTACTGAACTTAGCTTAAATTAGAGTTGAAATGATAGATTAAAATTTGAAAAAAGTTTTATATTTTAATACAGGGTGTCACAAAATTCGAGTGCCTGACTTTGTGATATAACTGTCCGTTTTTGTTGTATAAATGTGAAATATGGCCGCATGTTCGTCTTATTGTTACTAAAAACTTCGTTTTCGGGTAATGGTATCCGACGTAGGCCATGCCATGATTATGAGATTGAGCCAGGCCGGGGTGATTCATAAGGAGATTGGAAAAATCATCGGAGTTTCTCGGAGAGCCATTTAATGCACCCAATCATCGTCCCAAAAGTGGAAGACGACAATCAATGAAAGCAATTCAGTGTGCGTATGCTACAAATTTTAGGGAATGAAGAAGCAGTAGTAACGTTTACAACAAAACTTTTTTGGCTTCTATATAGCCAAAAGGTGACGGTGTATTGTGCAATTTCAAAATTCCGAAGAGTCGTTCACAAAGAAATCTTCATAACATATTTCTAATAATTGTTTCAAAATGTATGCAAAGATACTGCTCGGGAGGTTGGAAGAGGAAATGGAGAGGGAATTGTTGCCGGATGGGCAGGCGGGATTCAGGAAGGGAAGAGGGGCAATTGACAATATATACATTCTCTGAAACACCTAGCAGATAGGGAGTTGAACGAGAAGGGAGGAAAGCTGTATGGATTGTTTATTGACCTGAAAGCTGCATTCGATAACGTGGATAGAGAGTAGTTGTGGGCGAAAATAAGGAGAAGAGGTATCACAGAACAACTGATAGGGAGGGTGAAGGAGATGTACAGGGAGCCGATGGCCAAGGTTAAAGTGGGGGAAGAGTTATGTGAGGTATTCTGGACAACAAAGGGATTGAGACAGGGGTGTCCGCTTAGTCCCACACTATTTACAATATATACGGCGGACTTAGAAAAGAGGCTTGCGAAGGGGTAAATGGGTGGGGTGGTGATAGGAGGAATAAACGATTTGGTAGTTGTGGCTAGAGAGGCGGTGGAGATGAAGGAGATGATGAGGTCCCTGGAAAAATATTTTAAGACGAAGGGGTTGGAGGTAAACGTCGAGAAAACAAAAATAATGAAGTTCTGCAAAGGGGGGAGAAGAAAGAAGGAGGAATGGAGGTGGCAGGGAAGAGAGATAGAGCAAGTGAAAAAGTACACGTACCTGGGATATGGGTTCGGGGAAAGTAATAAGGTCCGGGCGCACGTGAGGGCGATGGAAAAAAAAGAGCGAACAGGGTGATGGGACAGGTTTGGGGATGGGGGGAAAGAACTTTTAGGAGGGACGTGGGAAAAAAGAAGGTCATGTTTGATGGTTTGGTAAGGAGCACAATGATGTACGGCGGAGAAGTATGGGTATGGAGAGAACAAAGTTTGCTGGAGGATATACAAACACGGTATTGGAGATGGGTACTAGAGTTGGCAAAGGAGACTCCGGGTATGTAGTGAGGGAGGAGATTAAGGTGGAAGCAGTAAGCGTGGAGGCTGGGAGAAGAGCAGTATGAGGAAATGATAGAAGCAAGACCGCATTGCGGGATCCTGGGAGAGTGCTGGAGAGATATTAAGGAGAGGAGACTGATCTATGGGCAAAGAGACAGGGAAGAATATTATTAGGAGAAAGAGAATTAAGAGATGAAATGTGGAGAGAACTGAGAGATAGGGACAAGGATATACACAGGCAGGAAAGAAGGTCACAGATACGAGAAGGGAGATACAATGAAAGATATGGGGAGATAGTGACAGAGAAACTGCCAAAGTATTTATTGATGGAGGGGGATGATGAAGGGAAGAGATTGGTGGCTAGATTCCACTGCGGCAATGAGGAGAGGGGGAACAGGTACTGGGCGGACGATGTGGAGAGGTGGTGTGGGCTGTGTGGAGAGGATTGGGAGACGCTGGAACACATGCTGAGAGGGTGTAGTGAGCTAAGGGAGGAGGCAATGAACAAGAAGCAGATTTTGGGAGAGAGGGGCGAGGGCAAAAGATGGATGATGGAGGTGATGGGGGCAAGGAGGCGAAAGTGTGGAAAGGGGGGAGGAGGGTAGAGGATCTGGAGGTATATATATACAGGGTGTCAGATAAAAAACGCCCCAAGCTGTAACTCTGTCATTTACATTCCGATTTTCATGAGCGAGGCATCAAACGAAATGGTTTGATAAATACTATGATTCATGCTACAAATAAATTTCAGTTCAAAGCAATTATTAGCTTTTGTTTTTCAAATTGCTCCATATAGTTTTCTTCACGTCATAGGATAGAGATTGTTTTTCTGGATCCATTGATGTACAACACATCCACTTTTAATGTAATTTTAGCAGAGAAAAGACACCTATATACAGGTTGTCACACAAGAACGCCGCAAGCTGTAACTCTGTCACTTACCTTTCGATTTTTATGAAAGAGGTATTAAATGAAATGGTTTGATGAATTCTATGATTCATGCTACAAATAAACTTTTTCCAACGCCATCTTCAATTTTAAGCGATTATTAACTTTTGATTTTCAAATTGGGTATGTTTTTCTTTACGTTATTGGATAGAGATTTTTTTTCTGAACACATTGCTGAATAATATATTAACATTAATTGTAATTTTAGCAAAGAAAAACAATTAAAACATTTTCCGAACATTGTCTTAGTCACTTCTGTAATACTGTAGTGTGCCATGGAAAGAAATAACGCGCAAAACTGATAACAGTCATTAAATTATATTTCAATGCCTGAAGCAGTTGTAAATGATTATTTTTTCCCATGGTACACTACAGTATAACACAAGTGACTTTAAGAGAATGTTCGGAAATTATTTTAATGTTTTCCTCTATTAAAATTACAATTAATGTTGATGTATTGTACATTAATGGATTCAGAAAAAAAATCTTTATCCAATAACGTGAAGAAAAACATACCAAGCAATTTGAGAATAAAAAGTTAATAATCGCTTGAAATTGAAGATGGCGTTGGAAAAAAATTATTTATAGCATGAATCGTAGTATTCATCAAACCATTTCATTTGATACCTCGCTCATGAAAATCGGAATGTAAATGACAGAGTTACAGCTTGGGGCGTGTTTTATATGACATGAGCTGTATATGAGTGTATTTCTGGAAAATATTTTCGCATATACAGGCTGGTCCAAGAAAGTGTGACAACACAAAATGTATTTTCTTAAATGGATCACCCTGTATGTTTTTACATATTTGGATTTGTCTGTTTTCACGGTTTATGAATAACTTTACTTTTTGCAATTTGATTCGGCCGTTCTCGAGTTATTCGAATTTTTCTAGAAAAATCTGCTCCACCAGACATTTGTTCAAAAAAGTCGAAGAACACTCGATTTTAGAGATATCAATTTAGGATTCAAAACATGATTAAGCAACATGATGAAGTATGTTTTAGTCAACTTCATTTTTTTAAATGGCACCCCTCATATTTTATTGCTTAGTCGTATGTGTGCATTTTTCAAAAAATTATAATTATCTCCCAAACTACTAATGTTAGGTATAGGACATATGGGATATAAATTATGTAAAATGAGACAACGAAGACGACTAAGTAATAAAATATGGAGGCTGCCACTAAAAAAAATGAAGTTATGGTACTTCCAAATATCGAAAAGTAAAGGCGCCATAGTAAACTGACCAAACCTTCTAGACAGCCGTTCTCGGCACTAAAATATACTCCATCATGTTCCTTAAGCATGTTCTGAATCCTAAATTGATATCTCAAAAATCAAGTGTTCTCTGATTTCTTGAACAAATGTCTGCTGGAGCAGATTTTTCTAGAAAAATTCGAATAACTCGAGAACGGTGTGAGACATCTGTATACTTAACAATAATAATTCATACAAAGACCACATTTATAAATGGATTAGATACGTCGATGATGTTTCTTGCGTTTGGGAGGGGAGTACTACCATTTTAGATGATTTTCATGGTTATTTGAATAACCTTTTTCTTAAACTTAATTTCCCTCTTGAAATATACTCAACCCTTAATTTTCTTGACTTATCTATTACCAGAGATGATCATAACTCTGTTAAATATGACATTTTTAAGAAACCCACAGTTATTGCAACTACTATTCCTTTTGATTCATCCCATCCAATGTCACATAAATTAGCTAATTTTAGATTTCTAATAAATAGAGTCTTAAACTATCCTTTGTTTGAAAATAACAGAACAAAAGCATTTAACTAAATCCATAACTTAGCCCCTCAATTTGGGTTTCCTTCAAATGTCATTAAGAAACTTCACAATAGAATACAACAAGAAATGAAAAATGATTTACTATAAATCATAATATTTCTATTTAAAAACCTATTCATTTTGATCAAGTAACCATAGAATCTAAACATATCTTTAATAAATTTAACATTACTCTTGCCTTCTCCAACAATAATTCTTTATTAAAACTTTTATCTAATTATCATCATAAAGATGTTAATATTCTTAAACAGTGTGGGGGTGTACTCGATCGGATGCTCTAACTGTGATGGAATTTATAAGTATAGGTCAAACTGGCCGCAGGCTAGAAAGTAGAATCAGCGAACATAGGAATAAGACTCAGTTAAACATTTACACAATATAGATTTTGACAATATTTCACTCATTTACAAATGTCAAAGCGGATAATAACACTAATCAACGATCAAATTCAAAATTTTTATAAACCCATTTTTAAATAACTTAAAATTTAAATTTTTATATTATTTTTAATGTATGTATTACATTTAAATATTGGCGCGTCTGCATACCTCTCTTTCTTTGTTTTCTCACCTTTTCCATTTCTTTTTCTTACCTTAAAGTAATTCATAACTTGTTTTCCTTAGTGTCGCCTGGTGTCGCCGGTTTCGCCTCATCTCATCCCGCTATAACACCTATCGAGTTCCTTCAATTGCAAAATTTTTTGATTGGATCTCATTAAAGAAAAGTAAGTTTTCTTTCTTTTTTCCTCATTGTTTATTTCTTTATTATCTTTTGTT